GGATGCTCTGAGTGCTCTGGCCGCATGATTTCACACTTGTCTCCCACATGTCTCGACTTGGCTCCCAGTAAGCTCACTTGTCTTCCACTTGTTTCCCATAGCCTGTCTGGATGCTTTGTATCCCCGGGCTTGGCTGGATGCTGGGCCGATTTAATTTTTTTGATGCGCACAAGGTCGTTGCTCTGTTGTATTTCTGGTGTTTCGAGTTTGAAATCTGCATTGGCTGCACTGGGCCGTCGATGAGTTTGCCGGCTCAGATCATGAATGACGCATGGTTTAGTGTTGCAGTTTGCCAAAGGGACAGCTCGCCATCTTGCGACATGTTATCAGACAAGCTTTGTTACTGATTGCTTTTCGCGAGTGTTGCAACATGCGGAAAGCGCGAAAAGCTCCATCTCAATGGCTGCCCGTCTGGAAGTGCCAGTTTCAGAAGGAGAATCCTAAGAAGGCAGGCCATCATGAGAGCTTGGTTTTGGATCCAACAACATGGGTATATATATATATACTTTTTAACGTATGTATGTATGTATGTATGTATTATATTTATATATATATATTTGTAGCATATGCAGATGTATGTTTATATATATAAATGGTATGTAAAATGCGGTCTATATATACATATGTATGTTTTTAGGTCTTTGAGTATGCAAATATGTTCTGTGTCATGGCAAGCGGCAGGCACATTCTCTTGCTTGGCACCGCTTTACAAGTTATGCTGCGGCTGTGACTATTGGAGAAGCTTCTTGCGGCGGAGCCAATCACAGGGACTTGGATTTTGATTATCAACGAGGCTATATGACGTGTCCTGAAGCAGATGAGCAGATTAAAGCTGATTTGGAGGAGCAGGTTGGGGTTGCGGGGAGGGAGGCTTTGACCTATGGATTGATTTTTGTTATGGCTGCTATGTTTTTGTACTTTTGAGCTTTGCAAGTGGCGCTATTCGGTGAGCGCATTGGAGGAAAGTCTTGTTGAAGCTCACGTGCCTGAAGCTCCAGATCACGACGAAAAACCGGCAGAGAAGGCATTGTTGCTTTAGTGGTGTGCCATTCAATTAAAGCTTTGCTTTGCTTTGAGATATGAATGAACATGTAAGCAAGCGTGTTCTTTTGCCAGGATTTGGTGGCAATTCATGTGAATGAGGATGATTTGCCGGCTGTGGCAGTTTGTGATCGATTCTTGTTGGAGACTATGGTCAATGAAAAGACAGATGCAGTTGAGAAAAGTTTGCCGGATAACGATATCATCTTTGTTGTTAGCAAGGGCGTTCAGACCGATATAACAGAGCTTGGGGCTTTGTCCTGCACTTCTGCTTGCGCTGGGGGTCACTCTCAGTGATGGATGGTTGATTGTATCGATGTCAACATTTTGGTTGCAGTCACGCGGCATGTGACATGATGAAAAGCGGAATCCATACTGTGTGACCCTTTTTGGCGCCTGGCTGCCCTGACTCTGAAGAGTCGTTGTGGCAGATGGCCTGCTGCGGGTTCATGAGGGTTGCGTGATGGTAGCCAAAAAGAAGATGTTTTTACTGACTTGCGAAAGCCAGCATGTTTGAATGCTTTTTTGCCGTTGCGGCGCTTGTCAAACACTGTTCGCAGCAGAGCAATGCCATTGCGTAACCATGTGTTCAGGATCGAGGAAGTTTGTTCGTTTTTTTAAATATTTGTATTTTTATTTTACATATCTTTTCGGGATGCTGAAGTGAGCAGACATTAGCATTGTTTGCAAGAGTCGTGCTTTTTGTGTGTTTGCTTCAAGAATTCGATTTGTTGATCAAGGATTTCTTTTTGCCAGATTGGGTGTAAACAACACTTTCGATCTTTTAAGGGGGTGCAGGGCAGCGCCCAAAAAAATTCAACTGCACTGACAACATTCAAACGACATACCAGGGGAATGATCACAAGGGTTCACCGTAATGTTCTTGCGTCGCAACACGATTCCACAGGAAACGGGCGTTGTGACGAATAAAAAATCCGTAGAAGTGCGGCTTCAAGTATGGCTATGCTGTGCCGCGAATTGATTTTGCGTTTTGATTTGCAAATGTTATTCCTTGTCACAGCCTTTGTTTTATGTTCGGAGTGGGTGCATGTAGACACGATCATTGCGTTGGACGTGATAGGCGCGACGGCTGAACGATGTATTGCGGGAAATGCAGCGACGCAAAAGCTTGTCAGTCAAAGTACGTGAAGGTTGGCCTTGCAAGTCTCGTTGAGCACTTGAAAGTTTGGTTACTGCGCCAGAAATCCCATGAATTTCATTTTGCTTAATGTGCCGAGCTCGCCAAATTGCAGAATTGCAGACAGCTCTCACAAGTAATGTGCAGATAGAAGAGGCTAAAAATCAAGAAGGTTGCAACGGCTTGCTCTCCAACATCAGTGCTGCAACCTGCCGCAAGCGACCGCCTTTGCACGCTGGAGCAAGTGACCGCTCGTGACCCCACCGCAAATGCGCTGCAAGTGAATCCAGAAGTAACCGCCACTGCCCGCTGGAGCAAGTGACCGCACGTGACCCCACCGCAAGTGCGCCGCAAGTGGCCGCAAATGACTCCAGCAAGCAACCGCCGCTGCCCGCTGGAGCAAGTGACCGGACGTGACCCCACCGCAAATGCAAGTGAATCCAGCAAGTAACCGCCACTGCCCGCTGGAGCAAGTGACCGCACGTGACCCCACCGCAAGTGCGCCGCCAGTGACTCCAGCAAGTAACCGCTACTGCCCGCTGGAGCAAGTGACCACACGTGACGTGACCCCACCGCAAATGCGCTGCAAGTGACTCCAGCAAGTAACCGCCACTGCCCGCTGGAGCAAGTGACTGCACGTGACCCCACCGCAAGTGCGCCGCAAGTGACTCCAACAAGTAACCGCCACTGCCCGCTGGAGCAAGTGACCGCACGTGACCCCACAGCAAATGCGCTGCAAGTGAATCCAGCAAGTAACCGCCACTGCCCGCTGGAGCAAGTG